GGGAAGAGGCTGATGCAGCCCCTAGCCTGCAGCAGGCAGCCTTCGCCCCGTGCACAAATCTGGGCGGTACATGCCTCTCATACCTTCCCCAGGTGTGTGCTTAGCAGAGGGAAGCTGCCCCCCCTCCCTGCCCCACCCTGTGGCTCCACCCTGTGCCCCGCCCAACCCTAGCCTGGTAGTGCCTGCCTCTGCCCCATTCCCTCCATCACCATGGGGGCCTCAATCTCCCCCCACTGACTTAACAGCCAGACGCTGCTCTCTAAGCTGCCAGGCTGCATATTGGCTACCAGATCAGTATCAGCTGATATGGATGGTTAATAATTGGCCATCAGTATGAGCCAAATCATCTTTACTGGTGCACCCCTAATCTTTGTTTTACTTTCTAATTTATGAATAAAAGTTTATAAAGGCATTATATGGCTCCACATATGATTTATGAACCAACTAGTAATGATTATTTATCCACGCCAAGTTTTTGTTGCTAAAATAGTCTTATATTTTAGAGGGAACTGAATGGCACTGGGAACTAAAAGTAAGTTTCATAGATTTCATAGACATTCGGGCTGGAAGGGACCCTGGAGGATCATTGAGTCCAGCCCCCTGCCCAGGGGCAGGAAGTCAGCAGGGATCATAGGATCCCAGGAAAACAAACATCCAAAAGTGTCTTGAAGGCGTTCAAAGTGGGTGCTTGAACCACCTCTGGCGGCAGTCTATTCCAAACCTTGGGGGCTCCGACAGTAAAGAAGTTCTTCCTTATGTCCAGCCTGAAATGGTCACAGAGGAGTGTGACCATTAGATCTTGTCATCCCTTGGGACGCTCTGGTGAACAGACTTTCCCCCAAGTTAAAATTGCCTTCACCAGTTTCTAATGACAATTGGCAAACACCGCAGTAATTTTTCTGGAGTATGTTACAGACTTATCTGTGAAGTATTTAGGCCCTATTCTTAAGTAGGTAGTTCCAAGTAAACAAGTTTTGTGTGGGGTTTTTATTTTTGGTTTTGGCTTTAAGTGACATCCCTGTTTGCAGTCTCAAAAAGCCCAAGACTTCATTGGATGTGGAAAACTGACTGCTCCATCATCCCTCCATGTCAGAGTTTGTATGTGGGAAAACTGTCTTGCTCTAAGGCTGTTTGTATCTATTTTGTTAGTGTAGACAAGGTTGTAGTTGTGTGCTTTTCATGTTGTTGAATTCTATTTTCTAAAACCTTTCATTAATCGTAAGGGATTGGAATTATTATAAAGAGGAAAGTAATTCTTAAGACCTGAAGTCCACTGGCATAGTGAATAATTTATTTTGGATTCTAACCAATGTAACTTAGAACAGATGATGGTTCGGAATGCTTTGCGCCATATAAGGCACTTATTAAAACTTACAGTAGTACAACTGTTTTATTAAAAGAATTTGAGACTTGGTTTAATTTCGAGCTAGGATATGATCAGCTTACATAAAATGTTTTGGCTTCTATATTACTTATGCTATAAGAATTTACTAGCATTTTCTTATAACTCATGCTACTACTCCAAAGTCTGCTCCCATTTAGTGAGAGTTCTTTGTAGGTCAGAAAATTCACTTTCTAACGTCTTTTTCTATGGTCCTTATAGTGTCAGCTCTATTATCTAGAGATTTGTTTATTTCCATTATTCTTTTCCCTTCTACCAGTACAAGTCTGAAAGAACTAGTTTTGTGTCTCTGTCTGGATCTTTTCTTTTTCTTTTCTTCTTTCACTTAAGAAAATTGTTGTCACTATCAAGAATTGCTTCTGCAGGTTCCTAGTCTTTGGAAGTGTTTGAGTCAGGAGTGCAAGTTCAGGAAATATACAGAAAAATGTAACAGCTTTATGCTTACCAGGCCCAAATATTCAGTGGAAGACAACGTTTGTATGTTTACCTATACTCATTTCCTTTTTGTCTGCCTTTTAACAATTCAGGTTTAGAACTATTACTTTCTTTTGCAGTTTTTGTATTTAGAAACTTTCACAGATGTTGGATTTATGTATTGCGTGTCTAGTTTGCGATTCAGTTTGTTTATACCTTAGATTGACTTCAAATCTGTGCAGGTTGTGATCCATATTCATAATGTGGATCCCTACTGACCTGCTCCACAGAATTTGAAACAGTATCAGTGACTGACTAAAAGATCATAGAACTTAAAAAGATGGAGGCAGACGGGATTTCCGGAGGTTGTTTAGTTCAGTGGTGCTCAAGTTTTTGGCTCCGCTGGGCCTGTCCATGGGTTGGATCAAGTCCCACGTGCTAGGGTTGGACTTTGTGAGACCTTGGCTGGCCCCCCAACATGCTGGGATCAGGCCTTGGGACCTGGCACCATCCTCTCCTAGTCCAGGTACTGGAGTTGGGCCTAGGGATTGGAGCTGCACCTGCCTAGCACCATGCACTGGGATTGGCTGCCCAGTCTGGTGCACATGGCTCAGGCTCTCCACGGGCCCAGAAATTTGACATCAGGGGAGCAGTGCCACCATTCCCTTGCCATATTTCCGGACCTGTGAGGAGCTCCTTGGGCCAGATGACACAGTGCTAGGAAGTGGATTTGCCCCATGGGTTAGGGGTTGAGCACCTTTGATCTAGTCCAATCTCCTCAGGAAATCTATTCCATACAGGTGTTTGGCACTCACTGCTGCCCGATTCATTTGGCCCTCATCTAGAGGGTCTCCATTGGTGCCTATACACCAGCTCCCAACACGTTCTGATTAGAATGCATCAGAGCAGACTCACTTCAGTCTGCTGGAACATTCCAGTTGGAACGCTCTAGCATGCTGCAGCATCTTGAGTATTCAGTGCCCCACATTTCAGAATGGTGGTGGGGGCACTTTATCTAAACCTCATTGTATAAGATTTAGTTAAAGTACCCCCTGAATACATGAAAATGCTGTCACAGAGCAGCTCTACAGAGCCTCTGTAATTGTAACGGCCCTCCCCTCCACCCACTGAAGTATGTGTATAGGCACCCCAGTGCCCAGAAATTTGGTAATAGGATAAGCAGTAGCAGCTTTAATTGCCATGCCTCCAGGGTTTGCAGCAATTAACTGCTGCTGCTCCCTTGCCATGACATTTCTGAACCTCTGGGTAGCCCTGTGGGCTGGATGTCATGGTTCTGCAGACTGGATCTTGGTCACTCCTGGTCTGACCTCTATTAAGACTACATGAACAACCTTATTGCATAAATACAGAGCACAATACTTAAAAACATCAAAAATGCCCTAATGTAAGTTCAGTCTTGGCATGTGGGGCTTGATCCCAGGTAAAGACTGTGACAAAGGTGCTATCAATGTCCTGCAAGGACAGGAAGTAGGCAGTACTTGAAGATCCTGTTAAAAGACCTGCTTTCTTTACACTGGTTTGGAATTCCACTTGAAGTGGCAGGAGCATGGAGCACTGTGGAGGACTGAGCCCTCCTTTTCATGACCTGTAAAGTGTGCATATTTAACAGGAAGTGCTTGTACACAGTACTTATTTTCTTCAGGGATATTTTTGGAGCATTTCTGTCATTTTTGGAATGTTTCAGAGAGCATGTATATCTATCCTCTCACCTTTTAAAACATTTCAAAGGCTTTTCATAGACATTTCATAGATTTCATAGACATTAGGGCTGGAAGGGACCTCAGAAGATCATTGAGTCCAAGAGGTTCAAATATCTGTCTATACTGTATAAATTGGAGACTAAGTACAGACAGTCAAAAAGCATGAGGCTGAATTGATTCAGTC